CCCACACACACACACACACACACACACACACACACACACACACTCACACACACACACTGTCCCTCACTTTATATGCTGGTCCATCGGAGTGCCTCCCTCTCTGTCTCGCCTCCACCCCTCTGCTTCCCCTCTCAGGGGAGCCGTGTACTTAAGGTGCAATTGAAAACAACTATCAAACCCTAAGGAGGTAAACCTGATTTAGAGACACCTTATCCGGTAGCGCAGGCTCCTCCGAGCGCTGTGCTGCTGCCGCTGCTCCTGTTCCCCCCGTTGACCGACTAAATGAAATTTTGTCTTTTTATCCATTTGGGTGGGAATGCAGCCAGACGAGTCTGGCAGAGTAAAGATGTGAACTGTAAATGACATTCTGTGCTGTATTTAGGGCCCTGGAGGAGTGGATGTGACACATGTGGCTCCTCTAAAGTGGATGTTTACTATGCGACATGTTCAATGAGTACATACATAAAATTTAAATGTGCTGACAATTTACTTGAGGCGATATCATCTTACATTAAGGTGTGTGGTGTTGTGATATTGTGCATCTGTATATTGTGAGTTAATGATTATTTATTAACTGGTTATACTCCACTCCTGTTCAAATTCTTAGCATATGTGCTAAATCCCAGAACTGAGGTGTCCTTGGGCAAGGCAGGCAAATTATGATCACATTTTCTTGCCTCTTTAACCCCAACTCTACTGACTACTGTTCTTTTTTCGGCCTATAAGCTAATGTAAAGGAGCGCTGCAGTATTTTTCAGTCCTTTGTAGGAAAGCAGGCAAATCCAGGTACGCAGTGAGAGCGAGGAGTGGAAATGTAAAATAACTCGAATATGGACTAAACCTCCGCTGTCACTGAGATTTCTTCGTGAAACTTGTGCTGCATCTTAAATTGGCTCTCTGGGGACATTTAAATCTAAATTTAAAGTTTGGATCAGTGTTACCTCAGCGCAGAAGAGCTTTCAAGCAACTGTCAGTCAGAACAGGATCCAGGCTGTTTTCGCCCTGAGACAATTTTAACACGAACATTGTTGTTCAATGTGAAACGACTGCTTAGATTTCTGTAAATGCTTTTCTATTCATATGATTAAAAAGGCCATTTAAAGAAACCTTTCAAAGGGGTCAGGATAGATTTTTATTCAACTCACCCTTCAATCACAGACTGTGAAAGATTGCATGTTCCCATCAAACCACTCTGTTCTGCTGTCTGCCATCCACAGTTCCAGGCAATTTCAAAAAGTGTCAAATCTATATTAACTGAATTTTCTGTCAAACTTTCAACTTATTTCCACTTCATGATTTTTGGATTTTTAATTCTTTTTTTTAACATCCCCTTCAGTCACTCGCTGGTTTTGTTCCGCTCTAGCAGACCCGTCTCCTAATCTCACATCTACTTTGCCTTCACCTTAGGTGGTGGGGGTTAACGATAATGTTGCACATACCTCAGCAGCTGGTATGCCCTCCGGAGGACGACACTGCAACAGCACCTCCTGCTCCAGAGATACTTCCTTACCCAGGGGTTCCTGTTCAAATGACTTCTTCAAGTCTGAGGAGAGAGACAAGAAATGGAATGACTACTAAAGCACAGGTTATAATGTGTTTTGGCAATTTTGAAAAATGGATTAGTACGTTTAAAACAAACAAGTAATTCTGGTAGGAATGATATACAGTAACTGCACAACATATAGATTTTATAAACGCTTCTTATTGTTCTTATGGTCATATTTTTTAAGAGGTTGTGGAGTCAATCCCATCTGACATTGGGGGCGCCCACTGCACGGCCTTGCAGGTCATTTATCTCCAGCAAAGCTTTACACACACCCCAGCTACATCTTATATTAAAGACCACAAAGACCCTGTACGACGAATCAATCAACCAATCAAACTTTATGCAGGTTAGTGCAGTTCAAAGTGTATGTAAGAGTATAGGAACCTGTTTAAACACCAGGTCTTAGTTCACCTTTTGCAGTAGAAACACTTTGGCCAACATCTCTGCCTTTTAAATCTCTGGAAATCATGTAAAGTTGAGCCTTTTTTCTATACCTGCCATGTTCTGCTGTAGCCACCTCTGCCACGGGATCCATGCTGGATGACTTGTCTTTTGAGTATTGAACTGTTTGAGGGATATTCTCTGTCAGACCCAGAAACTCTCAGAGCAATTACTGTGTTAATTTATTCATTCAGCCTAAGAACCTTTGTATTAAATCATTTAAAACTAGTCCCATCTCTGCTCCTGTGTTCAGTTCTTAGAATCCAGTCACAGTTACAAATCCTAACAGCTGTTATGACGTGGTAGTGAAAAGTTTGCTTTGTTAACTACTAGAAATACTCACGAGAGTGGTGAGCACGGAATCACTGGAGAGGAGCCCTTGAATTTTTAGAGGTAAAATGCATGTGTTCATATTTGTGTATCTCTTATTCTTTCATCTCTAAACCCCAGGAAACATGACGCACAACAGCAACGTCAATAATTACATCCAAAGAGGGAAAAAACTCAACGAGAGGCCGAGGTGTGTGGGTGGCCATTTTGCAAAACATCCTGTGACTCAGCAGCTATGGAGACCATTTTGGAGATGGTGCCATGTCATCGTAAGCCGAGCATCATTACCTAATTTCCACGGCAACGACGACACATGACGCAGTAATTATGGAGTTAGTGGTTGAAGTCAGCCATGCATATGTTGTGCTTTCACTTTAGAGATGTACACAACAAGGGAAAACACTTAGCTGTATATTCTTAGAGTCAACTAATGCTCACACACGGGGGTAGCACGCACACGCACACACACGCACACACACACACACACACACACAGCTGATCAAGCTATTAAGTGCTTTACCTGCTTCACACACTGAACACAGGCAGCTTTGTTGCACACTTGCCCCTCGATCACTACGCACGATATTTAACCTCGCTCTTGTTCCATATCGGCTTGCCAGAGTTCGGGGATCTCGAGCGGGCCAAAGACAATAAATGATTCACACTAATGGTCCACATGCTGTGATAAATGACAGCATTACAAAGCAGCATGGAATGTACTGCCATTTCCTTTCCTTTCCTTGAATGTTTCAACGAGAGGGCTTAGCTGTATTCATTTTGAAGAGAAAAAAAATGAAAAATTGCTAACAGTAGCAGACTTTAAGACAATTAGCCCCGACATTTAAATAAGAACAACAAGAGATGCGAAAGACAAAGCAAAGAAAAAGAAAGGGGGAGGGGAGTTGTTGGTGGAGAGAAGGCGTGAAATGATGTGAAAGCAAACACAAAAAGAAATGCTTGTGGGTGGATGGATGAAGGGATGGATGGGGGGACAGTTTTGTTTAACCGATCATTACACTGAATAGAAAAATTTCACTGCAAATTTTGTTTCTCTCACTGTCACACAAAGGACGGCATTGTCTTCATTGAGAGCCTCAAAAGAGACAAGTCTTCAGCAGTTCATGTTGAGCAGTGTTTCTTTCACTAGGCTATTTCACCACATTTCTGCCAATCTCCTGTCATGACTTCCCTCCGACACTAATCTTCCATCTTTTAGCATAACCTTGTCCTTCTCTGGCATGACTGATTTTAATTTATAAGATATATAAAAAAAACAGTATTCACAGCTTTTTCTCTTCTCTGCTGCCTCACAGTATGAATGTATCAGTATATTAGCAGCTGAGCTGATGTCAAAATAAGTGTCTGCCACAGAAAAAAAACCGATATAACATAAAATAAACTGTAAATTGAGAGGGCTGGCAGGACTTAACAGGTGACTTTATTTATGGTGCTGGTCACATGGTGTGATGGATTTCTAAAATAAGAACATATGAGCGAGAGAAAGAAAAGCACAAGATATTTATTGGAGGGCAGGTTCGGATTTCTTCTAACTTCTAAGACGACTAATCCCCACAAAGAATTGCACCCCCCTCTTATATCCATTTAGATTCAGCTTCATATTTTCTTTTATAAGTGTCTGTAAGATTAAATCAAGAACTGAAGAGAAATGAGTGTTGGGGCAAAAAAATAAAAAAAGCTGTCCACCCACACTTAACTGGCCAAAGCAGGCAGATGCACACGGTAATACATCTATCACGTGGTGGAGAAAAATCAGTGGGTGTAATTTCTGTATGAATATTTATGACTGCATGTGCATACATGAAAATATAGATTTTTACGAGTTGTGAATGGATGATTAAGCGTCAAACATCACGAATAAAAGTAATGTCAAGTGAGGTTGATGAATAACACATTACAATGTGATGTAAGTATTCTAAAATTATATCTAGTGGTTAAATGGGCATCAATGGCAAAATTCCAATGACACAACTTTAATTTAATTTGGCTCAAAAAGATGAATAAGAAACTTTTTACCTTTGAAAACTACTATTTTAGTTTGTGAAGGGTGGCTGCTGCTACGGACGACACATCCTCTATCCCCTGTCCTTTGGTTTTAAAACCATACAGAAAACTTTCATAGGAGGGCACAGTGTTTGTGTGTCTGTGTGTGTGTGTGTGTGTGTGTGTGTGTGTGTGTGTTTGCGTGCGCTTTATCCTTGTGTCCTTTTCCTCCCCTGGCTCCCAGGTGTACTCTTAATCACCTTATCTGTCAGCTGTGGTAGACTATTTGTGGACACACACAGACACAGACATTCACTAGACAGAGCGTTTTTTAAAGCTGAACTGGTCAACTCTGTGAGTCACTCCCTCGGTGTTTCATCAGGACAGTCACCTTACAGTGGCTTTCAGGCAGAAAGGGGCGAGAGTGAGAGAAGGAGAGGTGAAATGGGAGGGGGGGCACGGGAAAGGTAAGGGAAGTCGAGACGGCAGATGGGGGTTTGAAAGATGAGAGGCAGAAAGAGAGGAGGGGAAGGAGAAGTTGGCAGCAAAGCCAGTTACTCTTTCTAAAGCCATTAAGACCAGATGCAACACTGCAAGTTTCTCAAGACGAATGCTTGCTGCTCTGTGAAGCTGGCAGGACTCAACCATGTTTGATATGATGTCATTTTTAAGACATGTTACTGATGACATGTATTGTGATTCACTGAAATTCACATCAAGAAGGCAGAATACATTATTGGAAATAAGTTTCCTTTGTTGTTTTTTTCTAGCAGTCAGGTTTTAAAGTCGTGTTTCAGACTATCAGTGACAACCTGAGCGACAGATGTGACACTGAAGTAGAGTAAAGATCAACAGTGACAACCACTCAGTCAAGTCTCAGTCTGAGAGTCATGCAGCGTCATCACACGGGAACGAAAATCATTATTTCTTAACTTCTGCTCTAAAGGAAAACTTTAAATGTAAATCTTGTGAAAGCTTAAACCTTCAGCTCTAACTGAAAATCATTGCCTAAAATGTTGTTAAATGTGCTTCATCCTTCCAAATGAATCCATTTTCTAAAGCAAATAGTTTTTGCTTAATGTTTCTATCTTTTTTTCAGAGGCTGATAAATAAAGGTTTTAGTCATTTTTTCAGGTTTAAGGTCGTTGATTCTTTTTTAAGGGCACCTTCTACCAACACCACCTGCTGCTCTGCTTTATTAAAGTCGATATTTAATGTCCGCCACAATCAATATAAAACCATTCAATAGAATCTCTTGTCAGTGACTCAAGCTTAGCGCTTTCAAAAGCACCAATCCATCAAACTCGGTGGCCATCAATCTGGTTGTGATTACGTCTCTTTTATCAAGATACCAGTCTCATCGTAAAAGAAAGGGAAGAGATAATATGAGTCTCACTTAGAAACATTTTAAAAGCTGGAACCCGGCCTTCAAAATAAGAATGCAGAATTTAAAATCAGAATTTGTAACCATAAACCACCCTTCTCATCAAAAAATGGAAAATTGGGAGTCCTATACAGGAATTTATGCAATAAAATATTTTGGAGGGAATGCCTTTATAAATTCCCATCTAAAAATGTATTTCAGCTTAATTTAATACTGAAATCCTCCAAAGTTAAGTTATCATGTCTCCACATTGATGTACACGCATCCATAATTGATTCTAAAGGAGATAAGTGTCTGTTGAACAAGAATACACGTTAGTGCTGGAAACTGAGCATCCAAGTCAAATATTATCCAGTTGTGCAAAGAAAGGAAGTTACAGCTTTCGACATGAAGATTCAAGATGCCTGAAACTCACATTTAAAAAGTAATTTCACTGGTTGTTTCAGTTCTTAATACAAAAATCTTCTTGCATAACTCATCATGAAATTGTGGCAGCGTGTTTTCTCCATGGCGAAACACATGCATCATTCACATTTAACTTAAGTAAATACTTATCTGTTGAGCATGAATGAATATGATAGGGCTAGACACCAAGATTCAAAGGGTAACATGTCAGTAGTTTGACATATGTCGTCAAAGACTAATAGAGCTTGTGGGGCAGCAGTGGCTCAGGAGGCTCAGGTGGTAGAGCAGATCGTCCACAAAGCAGAAAGTTGGTTGTTCAATCCCCTGGCACCTCCAGGCTGTCCTTGGGAAGGAATTCCACATAGCCCCTGACTACTGTGCAGTATGTGAATGGTGCGTGATAGAAAAAGCGCAGCGTGTATTACCTCTGTATGAA